CATCATGAGGTTTTAGTGACTTACATTCAAAATGTTATTAAATTACTTTTTGTTTAAGTTACATCAATTAGTATAGCATAAAATCTTAGCTATATAATTTATATTTTAAGTTTTTAATTTTATAAGGCAATATTTATAAAAATCCTGAATTTCCCCTAGTATGACACACATTCTCCTCTTCCCTATTTTATCCACCACCCCTCCAATAAGTATGAAATGAAACATAAATTACTCACTAAAAAAATCGTCACTGCACAGAGAAACCATAATTTTTATAGCCTTCACTTTTGTTTGGTTACAGAGCTATTAGATAGAAAATCAGACTCCTCTTGCTACACCCACCTGTCACATCCTCTCTTTCAGGATTTGTTAATAGTTCTCTCTTGTATTTAAATATATATTATCTGTAACCAATAGAAAGCCAAGGTTTTCATCTATCAAATGACATATCATTGTTATCTAAACGTAAAATTGTCAATTTCACTGTTAGTACAAGCTTTGTTCACATGGGAAAGACAATGACTACGTTGGATGAATTTGTAATGTTTCTTTTTGCATAGACAACCAAAAAAATTGAGAGTTTGGGGAAACTGTCTTTTTTGCATGTTATTAGCCTATGTTCTTTGGTGCATTATTCAAATAAATAAAAATTATTTAGTGCATTACTAAATAATTAGTATAAAAAGTAGGGTTAAGTGTCATCAACAATCAACAGCAAGAAAAAAGATTAGAGTAAGTACTTTATTTCTTGTTTTTTTATGTTATTCTTTATTATTATTATAAAAGTAACTAAAATGTAAAAACAGGGATTTCTTTAGGTTAGATTAGGTAAAAATAATAATAATATAACAAAAATGTTTCATGAAGCACGCACTGCGCAGCTCCATGTTCCCCAAGTGATTTACAAGTTATAATGGCGTGAATGATAGTTAGACATAGTTAAAAGGGCAATAAAATTTAATTATAAATAGATGTTCACTGTTACGAGTTTAAAGCTAGTTAGGATAAACAAATGTAGTTTCATGTTACAATTTGAAATCATACTAGAAAGAAAAAGTACTGGTGGTTACAAAGTCGGTCAAATTGACCAATGTCGTATAGTTAGGGTAAAGAAAATAACAGATAAAATAGAGTTTCACTGAAAACAAACATTTGAAATGCATGTAGGAGGTTTTAGAGATTACACAAATGAAATCTGAGATGAAGTATTTTTAATCTTAACATGAAAATCACTTTGCACACGAACTATTCAAAACAAATACTTGATGTATTCACAGACAGATCTTTTTTTAGTTTATTTAAAATTTTTCACAAAAAATATGTTAAAGAGTTGTATGTTTACTGAAAGACTGACAAATACATACTATATTAAAAGTTTGTGGTATCAAATCTATAAAGACTATACGAGTACAAAGAGGTCACATGGTCAGTCAAGTCAACTGAGCCTGTTCTGACAGTTAATCACCCAGTTCTGGTTAGGAAAGGAAAAAAAAAGTTAAAATACCAAATTTACCTTCAAAACTTTTGCTATTCATATTAGAGGTTATTAATTTTTATCCGACATACCTGTATTTTTTCGTTAAAAGCTAACAAATTTTGCAAAGATACACTCACTATATTCAGTTATAGTATCTATAGTTTTATGGTGGTTACAAAACCAGTTAACTTGCATCCTCTTGTATGCACAGTGTTCTTGCAAGGCAAGCTTACTGTATCTAGCTTACAAGTATCACATGTAGCATCAGATGTGTACATAAACAACGTACAATATTAAATTTTACTTACAATATACAAATGTGTTTACTGTTCTACCTAACATTTTTAAATGTAAATGTTATATTTCACTCAGATGGATTACTTGTAAAATAAAAATACTCAATTGGATAGATATCAGACTTGTAGTTTTGGTGATGTCATCAATAAGTTATGCAAATCAGTACTTACCTAGGGTTGCCAGATTTTGGTGATAACAAACCGGGAAATAAACCCTTATTTCCCCAACTAGGTAGACAAGGAGCACTATAAGCTCCTCAAACAGGTTTTATGTCAGAGCCCAAGTTGAAAGCAAATACTATGCCTTTTAAGCATAAATGGTATACAAACTGTAGTTTGGTAATGTTATGAAATAACATTTTCTCTGTTTTATACTTTTAAAAAATCACAATTATTCACAACTATTTTGATAAAATGATTCAGAGACAACAGACAGACACACACACACAGAACTTGATGCTATAGAAATTTATTTTTATAATACCGTTGTGCTAGAGTCTACATTAAATGGACTGCATGATGTGTTGAGACTGTATTCAGTTTTTTTCTGTTAAAAGAGATGATTAAGTTTTCAACTATTAATCAAATTAGCAACGTACAACTGGTATCATTAGAAAATTTTGGCAGACTTAAAAAATGAATAATACAAATAAACTACTATTATCTAACATGCGACATGAATCACGTAAGTAAACAATGCAAAAATTATTTCTGTAAATCCTAAACGTAAGTTTTAATTTCACAAATACTCAAATTTGAAAAAAATGTGAAAGAAAAACCTGCTTAGCTATATAATGTACTTTAAAATGGTAAGTTTCAAACAGAAGCTTGAAAATAATCAAATTGGCTCAGTGCATAATAGGTCCCTACAAAGCTTTAAGGTTCAATTCGTTAGCTGGGCTCCGATTCGATATTTTAAAATCTACATCACTTCCAGTAAACTTTAGAATTTAGCTTTTAATACATTGTATATACTGGAACCTACTTTCTTGTATGAACACTTTTGTTCCATTCTTCTTCTAGACGTTTAAGTACATTGTATCTTTTGTTTTTAGAAAGATCTACTTTTATACTCAGTACTAATTGTGCATAAAAGCACTCTACATAAATAAAGAAACCATTTTCTATTTGAATTAAAATTTAATTCAGCCTATACACCTTATAATCTATATATACACAGCAGATTCGATTATATTCCATTAAAACAAATTTTGTGAATCACTCGATTCTATTACATGTAAATGTTTGAACTTAAATTGAAGATCTAGAAAACAGGTGCACGATAGTCTACAGTTCTTTAAATTACAGCCACACCTAGCAATAGAACAATGCAAGAGACCTGATGTCAGTTTGTGAAGGTCTAGATAAAGAACGTATTAGTAGTGATCATGACCTGAAAAGTCAAGGTGTAACCTACATAATGCTTTATTTTTACCATCTTTGTTACGGCAGAAGCATGGCCTCCCATTAAATATGATGATGAGGAACCCACTTAAAAAAGAAAACATTATTTCCCAGTCAAGCTTTCTCCAAATGTTTAGCTTACCATCAGTGAATAGTTCTACAGATTTTAAAAATATTGCGTGTCCACATGTAGCCTGTTTGATATTTATGGTTGTGACCACTTAGGTCCAAATCTATTTCTATGTCTAATCTACTAAACTACATTTCAACCATGTAGCCACATTTGGATGAAAGAGGAAAGCCATCAGACAAAATTAGCCATCATAATGTTGGTTTTTGTTATTAACATTGTATTTGACGAGAAAAAGAGAAAGAAAAGCAATAAATGGATACAATTTCTAGACGATGGATTTCTGTGGCATAACAATTTTGATGGCTGTGACAAAATAACATTTAATTTGTGCCCTTTTACACTATTGTCAGTGTTTGTTATGTTTTAATCGTGCTAAAATTAAGAATATTTAGTATACAGTCCAAGTTTACTAATAACACAATACTGGAAATACTAATGTTGACAGGGCAACATTTATTCAAAATCTATAAATAAAATGTACTCCTGATCACGAAGTTTAATTTAATTCATTAATGAAGTTTCAGTTATATCAAAATAATTAGGCAGTGGTAATTGACACTAGCACTATTCTGTCGTCACTATGTCATGACTGGTCTACGAGTATAACAACATCTGAATATTTGTTTGCACGTAAGCAAATAACTTTTTTGTCACAAAAGTGAACAATCTATACATTTGAGAACACAAGCAAACACTATACAAGAAATTCAAAACAGGGCTCAAGTCTGCATTACAGCTCAAACAAGGGCTTATAACCAACTGTCAAGTCTACTTATAGAAATTAGAAATACATGTCTAAAAAAAACTACTTCATAAACATGTGGGTATCACTTTTACCTTTTACCCAGCATATAGGTTTCACAATTCAAAATATTTACACATTATGAACTGCTGTTAGCATTTAAAGCGGAATATTACTGACAACTAACATTACACCCATTGGCAAACCCAAACACAAAAGAAGAAGTAACTTAATTGCAAACATCATTTAAATGACCACTTTGAAATAGCCAAGAATATTTATAGTTTGTGAAACAAACAGTCGTTAATGGAGGTAATTTCCTTTTACTTTTATTTAACAAAATTGTTTCTAATCTAAGTAACATTAGGCTTAACGTGTTAATTTCTTTATGAAGAACGAACCAAATGTGACACTGGCAACACTATCAACTTTGTAGTTCTTCTCACAACTAGAAATCGACCTCAAACAAACAGTACGTTACAGCATAAGTTACTACTACTAGTACTACAGTATCACATATAATTAGTACACAGTGAGAACTGCCACTACCAGTCTCTGTGACAGTGCCACACCATTATTATAATGATTAACTTTCATTACAAATTTTAAAATTTGCGTTACTTTTTACTTCAAGCTGCACTTGGAAATAATATTAAATGAAAAATTGAAATTGCAGGTCTAGACAGTGTTAACTTTTTTGTTTAATGAAAAAGTTCACGACTAACTTCTACTCTAGTTCTACATTACCTAGACTCGTAAGGTAGTGTTAAAACTGAATTATTGTGCGATTTAGGCTTAACAACACTAAGAGCCTACTCAGTCCCTATACAACCATACCACGAGGCCACTAAGGCGTCAACTTGATTCCACCGTCCTCAAATCGTGACAAAGAAAGCAACTGCGCAGTCCGCCATCATACATACAGTCGAAAGTTTTTACGATTCTTACCTCACAAGAAGGGCGATGCTTTCAGCAAACTCAAACCCATCAAAAATAAATATATTCCAATCCAAGATATCTACTCTAAACCTGGTGTATCTGTATTACTTTGAGAGATCTTCAGAGAAATTAAAACATTATTTCGATGATAATACATAAGCATACATCAACAATGATCTCTCCCCTCTTTCTGTCTCAAAATGGCCGACTCGGGAGTAAACGCAGTTTCGTAGAACGCATGCGTTTAACTTAACTCGTTTTTGATTAGTTGATTGAGGTCACATGTGGGAAAAATGGCCTCTTCCAGAAAGAAGGTTGTCAACGAGATCAAAGACAAAGCTAATGCATTTCTAGCAAGTCGGAAAAATTGTAATTTTTTGATAGAATTACACAGCACATTAATGGTATATTATTCTTATTTCTATAATTGTTATTTAAAACTCTTAAATGATATACTAATTCTTAGGTTAAGTTGCTTAATAATTTTGAATGTCATTATTAGTATTACTGAGTGATTACTCAACCTTAGTCGAGTCTTAACTAACAACAATATTAATGTAATTTTACAAGTTAAACTAAGTTGCTTATTGTCATTCATCGATTTTTCAGCCGCTTTGTTCAAACAAGAAGAAACCACATAAAATTTTAATGTTTGTGTCTAACGCTGTCTGTGACTTTTTAGCGCCATAACTTTATAAAAATCAGTTGAAAAAACCGTAACTGTTTTCATTTCTATTTCTAAGTCTAACTACCTTTAGCCTACTCATATCGTTTTTCCATAATGGGTCCCTTTTCATTATTCATGAATCACTACTTTCTCTCTAGACGTTCTTCAAATCTTATATTTATCAGCAAACAGAAGTCTGGTGTTAATTTGTGGAAAATTACTTCATCTAATGAAAAGTTTTATTCTTGTAAAACTTGCTACTTCTAATGATCTCACCTGTATTCTTCCTTTCATGTTTCATTGTTTTTTTCCATGCTAATAGCTCTAGTCTAAACCAGTTGTCTGTATAGACAGTGTTGTATTGGTCTCTTTATTTTAACTGATAAAATTAAAACAACCTTCTGTTCATGCTGTTTATCTGATTACTTCTCATAAAAGTTTTATTAAAACTGATATTATTACTAACTTTATTAAAATTGTGGTCAACTCTGATCATATAAAATAGAATGTTTCTGACAACAAGGCCTGTTTTTTGGATATTTTTACTTTATAACTGAAAGATTTTGCAATAAAGATTCTAAAACCTAATATGTCTAGTACACTTCAACCTCCATTATAGTGGTTTCCAAACATTTTTCACCGATGACACAATAACCTACTTACTTTGATTTGCACAACACCCCTGCTGCCTCATGCAATATTTTTTTGTATTGTTTCTTATATTAATTATTATTTGTTCGGTGAAACTCTAAAACCCCTAGCAACTTCCCACGACACACAGTTTAAAAACCACTGGTCTGTTAAGTTCATTTTCCTCCCCTAGAATACGTCGTAAACCCCAAATTCATATCTAGTAAAACTGCTGTATTGAATTATGTCAAGTCACATTTTCTTGGTAAACAGACTTTCACATAACCTTCTTATTCAACCATGAACTGCTAGTCTTCAGAACAAACATCAGATTCTGATCAACAATCCAAACTCTTCCTATCTCATATCACTACATCCAAATTTCTATCCCTATTGCTTGTACTTTTGATCAATAAAAACTACTATTAAATACCACAGAAAAACATCCATACAATTTCTGATGGATTTGCTATGACCTCAAACGTCTTTCCGTAATTCCAAACTCCTGCAAATCTTCAACCAACTGTAACAGAGCTCCTTTTTAAGGTAACCAAAATCTCCACTCATTCTGAACTGGTTCCTAACATTTTTCGAAAATGATTTATTTCTTACAAACAATATAAATCATCACTTCTTCGGCTGCCTTTAGATTTAATTGGCCTTTAACATTGAATATCGTTTCAACTGTCTGCTTTAACATAACATGCAAACATCAAGACCTACACACCCACCCTTGAGAAAAGTAGAAATTTAAACCCACCCCTTTATTTTTCAGGAAATAATTGATTCCACTCTCAAACTCCTGTAAAGTGCTGTTCTACACTACTGCCATATGCAACTCATGCCACAAGTCAGTCACCTTGTTATAAAGTTGTCTTAACCAGGTGTTACAGGAAGTGAATTGCTGTTCTTTACACGCCTAAAATTTTTAGCCACAATAGAAAAATAAAACTGTAGTTAACTTATTTTATAACAATATCTTAACTGGAGCTTAGCTTGTCTTTTCTAAGTTTTGTGTCCTGTTAGATTAAAAAAAAAACACTGAATTCCAGTTTCTCAAAAGATGTGTTAAGAAATCTAAAGAAGGAAGCTTCTTTTTTTTAAACTCTGATTGATATGATGTGAAAACACCATGTATATATATACACATTTTGACTGTTTACCTCATTTGTATGTGGCATCCAATGAAAATTATAGTCTTTTTTTTTGTAAAAGTTGTGCTTCAATCAAATACTTGAAAAAAGGCTTTAGAATTTTGAAAGTAAAGACAAAAATCAAGAGTGACTGACAATTTCTAGGTATGAATGCTGAAGAGAAATTTGTTTTTATATAGCATTATCTACAGAATATCGCACAAAAAACGGGAAGCCTACATCCTATTGATTCTCTGCATAAAATTAATTGAAAGATCGTAATGTATCTCTATAAAGTAACCAACCCTTCCATCTCTGGAATCATCCTAATATCATTTCTCTGAACCTTTTCCAATAAATTCAATATTGCTTCTCAGATAGGTAGATTAAAGCTGTATGCAGTATTTCAAGTTGATTCTAATTAGGGGTTTGTAAAAATGGAAAAGTACCTCCTTTGACTTGTATCATGTGATTTTAAGTACACCCTTATATTCCATTAGCTACTGCAAGCAACAGAGTACTTCTTCAGTGGCTGGAATTATCTATCACTATGCCAAGATCATTTTCTTCAATCACACTTATGTGTTTGGTCACATCTGTATTTTCTGTAATACCACAACATCTTCAGAACTCAATACGGATAGAAAAAAGTTTAATATCATCACAAACTTTGATAATTATACTCCTATCAATATTATTAATGTATGGGTACCAGCTGTTAGCTGGGAGTTAACCTGCAATGGACTGGCATATCCCGTCGAAGGGGATGGGTCACCATTCTACTCGTGCCACTTCAAAACTGGAGCTCAAAAGCACTGGCACTATATGCCTTGCAAAAGTCCAAGCACGGCACCCCCCGAGACACTTCACTATTAGCAAGGGATCCATTGTGATTGAATAATTTTAACGATCTTTTCTTTCTCTCATCCAACTACCATACAATCCAATTAACTATGTGATTTATTCCTAATAATCCATTTTTCTTAGATAATATCTTATGTCACCTTATCACTTTTTAACCATCCATGTCGTTGAAAAATTTGTTTAAAATTAATGCGTTTTATTGTCTCACTTACTGAATGAAGATTAAACTTTCTGAGCACCTAAACGAACAGTTCCATGTCAGTCGTTTCATACAAGTTATAGTGGTAAACTTATTTAGTTACATAATCATATTGTATTCTACATTTGGTTTTTGTTACTTGTGTAATTTGAGTAAATTGTAGACTTGTTTGAAAAATTAATTAATGAATGTTGCAAAGTTTATTATATATGAAAGATGACCTATCTAACTTTTTAATATATAAATCTGTTCCTTTTTTAGAATTGATTTTGGTCGATAGCCTAAGCACATAGCAAAAACCTAGGCTTAGTATTTTTTGTTTTTATATATAAGCTTTCCAAACCAAGACAATGAATTATTGTATCTTATTACCAAGACATGCGAAGTGTTACAAGCTCACATTGTACGTGAAATTAATCATGCATAATGAAATCTTAAAAATTATGATACAAGTTTAATATTTTAATATCTTTAAATGAAATATCAAAGTTTTAACTCATGTCTTTGATTATGTAATGTGTTTTTTTTTGTTTGTTTTCAGTCACAAGAATTTTCACACAGTTTCAAAATAACTTCAAGGTTAACCCATTAACTGCAGCAGGAGCAGCTCAGTTGTCGTTTTCTGACTCACAGATAAAACTGAGTTGCCATCAATCACAATAAAACGGTAATTTTCGTCATTCGCACGGAGTTATAGTTATATATGTGCGACTGACAGATATTTCCGTCATCTGCAGTTAATGGGTTAATAACAAATTATTAGTGGAACTTGAAAACGTGTACAATTTCAAGTTATTCTTTATAAAGTAATTAAAATTAATTCATGGTTAACTACATTTTTTAACAAATATATTTTCCAACATTAATCTTATTAATTCATGAATTTTCCACAGCCTCATCAGACTATGCATTGTGTATTTCAACATTAATCTTTGGAGTTGGTCACAACTTGATATATTAGCAGAAGATAAGAAAAAGCAAAGTAATAAAAAAAACGATCCATTTAGTCACACTGCAACCATTTAAAGAGTGAAAACTAAACATCAGTCCACCTACATGTGAAGTAATTTAAACCATCAACATACAATACATGAATTAGTAAGCTGTTACACCAATTAACCATTTTGAAATAAATCTGTTGAAGGATAAAACTTGTTTTTGTGCATTCAAAGTTTGTACTTTACTATCTCGAATATCCGTATTTCTAAGGCAAGCATTTTTTGGAGAAGGTTATTCAGTCAAACAAAGTTGCTCTTCAAACAATCAACTATAAGCTTATCAAATTGGCTAACTGTAGATTATCACACTAATATAATTGTAACAAAGTTTTTCAAGCAAATGGCACACATTTCATTATGTAAACCATTCTATCAGTATTTAACTTGGAGAAGTGTAGTTGCTTAAGCTGGACTTAAACATTAAGCACACTCAAAATGAAAAAAGGTAATTCAACTTATTAAGATGATCAGAGGCATCACTAGGTGCTTAAAAGATTTAGGGTTTGGGCCCATAGGCATGGGGAGTTTCGGCATTTCAATATGATATCGATCACGGTTTTCTATTCTGATTTTTCAAGACGCCAACTGTGGATTTGGTTCACCGTCAAGTAGAGTTGGGGCATGTGCCAGTGCCTCGTAAAGCCTCCGAAGATAATCTCTCTATACTCCTTAATGGCACACCAAAATAACCACTAAATATTAAGGTATTGTTTATAATATCCAATAATCTATAAAAAAAATTAACACTAGAACACACATTTAAATTAATAAGTGCATAGTTTTCATGTATTTTGACTTCCATCCAACTAATATCACAAAATAACTGAATTGTGGATGAAAAACACTTGGAGGAACACAATATGTTAAATATTGTAATTGTGCAACTTTTTCATATTGCGCCTTCTCAACCAGG